ACACATTCTTATTTCTGTGAACTTTTTTTAATACTCTTTTATTGTGTGTGTGCAGCTTGTAAACAATATGTCATTGTTTGAAAATAGATCAAAATATGGGAAAAACATAGATGCACTATTTGGGGACCAGGAAAACCCTATAAATTCAGACCATTGTAATGATTTGGATATAAAAAAACAAATTAGGAACTCAAGATACAGGTTGGAAAAACTCTGGGGAGGGAAATTAAGATTCAGTGGGAAATAGCCACTATGGAGAAGTATAGAAGGGAGGAGATCACGCCAAGGGGTCTTAGATTCGCAAAGAATCCTTCCTTCGATCAGGAGGAGGAGGACTTCATTAAGGAGTGGTTGGATCTCTTGGAAAGCTTCTCCTTTGGGCTAATAGATCTCATTATAAAAAGAAGAAAGGAAACATTGATTAAATTAGATACTGAAATACCCTAAAAGCGTTTTTGACTATAAACATGCCCCCAGAACAATACACCAATACCTTAGAGGAAATCCAAATAAATTTGGAGAAACTTGAGAAAGGGGTGATAGAAATTAAAAAAAGAAAATATTTAAGAGATAAAACTGATTACGCAAGGGGTGAAGTCAGAACTTTTTTTAAGAACAACCATAATCACCGAGATAGATATGATGCCACAAGAGACGAGAGATATGAGGATAGATATAAAATCAAACAGTATTATCGCAATGAGGGAAGCCCAAGCAGACCTAACAGATTACTAAAACAGACTACGACACCAATTCGTAGAAAACTAACACCTAAATGGAGACATCTATCTAGAGGAGGTAAAAGAGGAACACCAAATAGAAACCTTAGGGAAGATAAGAGATCACCAAAACCAGTGGGAATACCCACACATAGAGAACAGATCCCCACGAGGTATGGAAATGTATCTAGGGATACAAAAGGGACACCAGATAGGCACTCTAGGGAGATAAAAAGATCACCAGAACCAGTGGTAAGGAGGAAAATACAGACTAGTAGGAGCGATCAGCATCCGGTAGAAAGAATACCAAGGGGGATAAATAATAGAACTGATTGGGATGAAAAGAAAAAAATCCCTACTTATAACAGATTTAATGCCCTCAACACTCAACACAAAGAGGAGGATTTTTGTGGAGACTACATGAAGGGCAGATACAAGGACAACAGACTAGGCTGGGGAACCCCAGGAAAAAGAGGACGGAGTATAGAGGACGGGGAACTAGAGGAGGAATTCTTTTACAAAAAAGGAAAAAAAGTCAGAGAATAAAGGGAAAAGGTATTTTTAATTTATCATCAAAAACACTTACTAATCCCCAAATAAATCTACTTGAGAAGGGACTTAAATTTGCGCCCACAAAAGCACTTGATAAGTTCAGTATCTATGTAGATCTTAACAGATTCAAAAGGAAAATGTGTTTGAAAAAATTCTTCCTAAAAAATCCAATCACTAGGCCAGAAGTACCCATAGAAAGGTCGGAGGCTGTGCACACTGAACTTAAAGCAAAATCTTCATTCTATCCTAGGTTCTGTATCTCAGAAGAGATGTCAACCTTTGAAAAGATGGTGATGAAGGATATAGAAAAGATTAAAAAACCAAATCAAAAACAATTCAACCTTAATTATGGGGAAAGACAGGCATTGAAGGAATTAAGGCAGGACAATTCATTGGTAATTAAACCAGCAGATAAGGGTGGGGGTATAGTCATTTTGGACAGCGAAGACTATGTAAAAGAAGCCCTTAGACTCTTAGGAGACGACAAGACATATAGAATCTTGACGAAAGATCCAACTAGCGATATAAAAATCACATATGACACTCTCATAGAGGAGGGAAAAGAACATAACATTCTAAATGAAAAAGAATATGCGTTTCTAAACATGACACAACCTATAATACCGGTCTTTTACCACCTCCCCAAAATCCATAAAGATAGGATAAAACCTCCAGGGAGACCTATTGTATCTGGGATTGGGTCTATTTCCAGCAGACTATCCCAGTACGTAGATAGGTGTCTCCAACCAGTGGTTACCAAATGTCCTAGTTACCTGAAGGACACCTCCAATATCCTCCAAGTTTTAACAGATCATAAGTGGAAGGAAAATAGCTTTTTGGTGACAACTGACGTTAGTTCGCTGTACACCATTATTTCTCACGATAAAGGGTGTCAAGCGACAGAACATTTTTTACAGCAGTCAGGAACATTTCCAAGTGGACAAATTGATTTTTTAGTTAAAAGTATCAGATGGATACTGAATAACAATTATTTTTGGTTTAACGATCTTTTCTACTTACAGATATGTGGAACTGCGATGGGCACGAGGTTCGCGCCAAGCTATGCAAATTTATTCATGGCTTTGTGGGAACAAGAATTTATTTACCAAGATGGTAGTTGGAGCGCGAACCTCGTTGCCTATCGCCGTTACATAGACGACATATTTTTCATTTGGCAAGGGGACGAGACATCCCTGATATCTTTTTTGGACCATCTGAATAATAACGATTGGGGAATTAAATTAGTCTCGAATTATAGCAAGATTCTAGTGGAATTTCTGGACCTCCAAATTTATGTTGAGGATGCATGTTTGAAGACATGTACTTTTTTCAAACCTGTGGATGTTAACAGCTACATTGGGGAGAATAGCTGCCATTTCTCCCCATGGTTGCTGAATGCACCCAAAGCGCAACTGCTCAGGATAAGGAGGAATTGCACGGAGGAATGTAAATTCCAAGAACAATCCCACAAAATTCTGAAAGATTTTAGAGAAAAGGGATATAACGAGACATTGTTGGGGAAAGCCCTTGAAGAAGTCAAAATAAAGGACAGAAAAGATCTAATTAAATATAACACTAAAAATAAAGTTGAACCACAAACAATAGGACTTATATGTGACTTTAACTGTAAAAGTAAAGAATTTAGAAAAATAGTTTCAAAGTATTGGCCAATTTTAAGAAATGACCCCCTCCTTAATAGTATTCTTCCGGAGAAGCCTAAGATTGTTTATAGAGGAGTAAAGAATTTAAGAAACACTTTAACATCTAACCATATACCCCTAAAAAGATGTAATAGGGACTTTTTCAACGAAACAAAAGGGTTTTATGGTTGTGGACACTGTGGTGCGTGCAAGAACTCAAAAAGTAAGAAGAGACTAGTAAAAGAATTCTCACACCCTCAAAATAAAAAAGTCATGTTTAAGATCAACGAGCTAATTACTTGTCAGTCCACGAGAGTTATTTATCTCTTGATATGCCCATGTGGACTTGTATATGTAGGGCGCACCAAAAGAAAGTTGCACATTAGAGTACAGGAACACATTAGGAACATTAGGAACAACTATGAAAAGCACAGTGTCTCCTTACATTTTAAAAATAAACATAATAGCGATCCCACCCAGTTAGAATTCCATGCAATTCAGAGGGTATCCCCGATTGGAGAGGGGGAGATTTTATTAAAAAATTAGGCCAAAGGGAGATGCAATGGATTTTTAACCTGAATACCATGCAGCCTAATGGTCTCAATGATGATTTTGAGTTATGCCATTTTTTAACTTAAATTATTTTTTTATTAGTATGTTTCATACATTTTAAATATTTGCTCTATGGCCATACCAGTCTGAAAATGCCTGATCTCGTCAGATCTCAGAAGCTATCCAGGCTTAGGCCTGGTTAGTACTTGTATGGGAGACCAGCTAGGAACCTACTATATATTTATATGTTTTTTATATATATATTTTAATATTGATATCATCATTGAAGATAAGCTGCTGACACAATTGAGACCTATTCAATAATAATCAGCATTTCTCCTAAAAGAGCACACTCCTATTCACCACCTATCTTTATGCATGTACTGTCACTTTGAATGAAAAACAATAGATGTTTTTATTTTTTTTTGATATGTAAATTTTATGAATTAACTTGTAAGCAATATACAATAATACTATCCCCCTTTCTCCCTTCATTTTTTCGTTTATATATCGCTCAAATTGAGCACCTGGCTTGTAAATAGGAACGGACTTGGTTGAAGGAAGGGCATTTTGCCCAACTTAAAAATGGACGATATGGAACTGTGAGCCCTACATTGAAAACACGCCCAATTTGTGATGCGGCACGTGATGCTTCGGGTCACATGACTTGTTCCGAGACCGGAGCATACTCATTACTAACACAGCACAGCTGTTCATGAAAAAGGACGCCAGCGGATTGGAGGGAGGGAAGTTTGAAGGACCACACAGGAGGAAGTACAAAGTATTTAAACAAGTAACAGCAGCAACTATATTACCGATTGAAAAAGCTGTCTGGGTACAGTGAAACATGTTTCGGCTGGAGGATTGAAGATTCCACATTTTATAATTTCTCACAATTTTGTTTATATTTTACTTGTAAGTTTTTACTACTTTATTTAATAAATTTTGTTTTATATTTGGAATCCACCCTCCATTGTTGCTGCTTAAAGAAGGGTAGTTGCCCCCTTAAAGGCACAGACACCTACACACCAGGAGCCAGGTATAGGGCTCCACATCAGGTGAGAAGCCATTTTTTCTGCACTATTTGACATTGTACATTGGGATTGACCGCACTAGGGGTTCTCCTCTTCCCCTTGTTCTCTCTCTCTCTCATGTATGCATAAGGATCTCCAGACGCCTAGAGGACCGATTGGGTACTGTGTCACCATAAGCACACGCAGGCCATTGAGATCTGAGCCTATCCTATAGGGCTCTGCTACATGTGAGTGAGACCATATAGAATATTCCCTCACTGCACTTATTGAAAACGTTATCTGCACTATTTCTTGCATTTACATTTGTTTCAGATATATCGCTATGAGTCACGTTTTCCATACATATGTATGTTAACCCATATGGGTGAGTCAACAAATTTGTAAGCGCTCCATATGCACACCAGTGGTGGTTTTTATCATTAATTTCCCATACTGAGTGTGCATATATATGTATGATGATGTATCTATGATGGTCAGACCCAGGGATTCTAGGTAAATTGGGAACTGACCATCCCTTGGTTGTGTTGGCATTTGGAATATGTAGAGATGCTTATTTGTGCAGGTACCCATACAGAAGGGATTTTCTCCCAAACAAACGGGCGAGCACTCTCAGGCTCCAGGTACCAGCACCTCTGAACTACCAGAGACAATTGGTATTAGTAGTTGCATTGCATATAGACTGTTGCATATATGTTCAAATCCTTCAGGGCACATGACAAACCATGTGTCCCAATACAACTTACAAATAACGTACTCACCATCTGTACACACCAATGCATTTTCAACACTACTGACTCATCACCCTTCCAGACTTGTAGTAGAGTTACTAAGGCTCTGGAGCTTCAAAGGGCTCCCATACAGGTATCATAAATAAACTCTCAAGGAATATAGCATGCCCTCACTTACAGTCAGCACAACAGAACCGTCGGCTGTAAACACACTCATAGCCAAGATTTGCAGAGGGGTTTTTACTTGGGTTTTCCAATCTCCACCATTTACAGCATGGCACCAAACACAAACGCATTGGTATTGTCACAAGGGAATCTTCCCTTAAACAAAGACTAACCATAGACTTATTGGCACCACACACCTTCGCTACCCCAAGTCTCAACTCCCTCATACCCTCTGAGGAGTTTCCTTACTATACACACCATTGATCTACCTTTACAGCTATCACTCAAGCAGGGGTTGAAGCTTCGTTAAGTAAGACCAATATCATCAACACAGTAAACGGCTACCATCTACCCTACAAACTGGCACTTACATGGCATAAAATGGGCAATCCTTTCCCCGCTAAAAGCAGCTGCTGTGGCATGGGGTAAATCATGGTCAGGGTCATCAATCCGTTGTTACTCAGACAACTAAGCACATGTCATATCATCAACAAATGCCACTCATCATCCATACGATCATGGTATTGCTGGGGAACTCACTTGGTTGGCCACTTACCACATTTCTTTTACTTTCATGTACCAGGCGGTGGTATACATCCTTGCCGACAATTGTCTCATTTATATTCCAGGCACGTTCATCATACGCTTCCTACAGCCACCCATACAGTCACGGCCACTCTTTCGTTCCAGAGACAAAATCATGGATTAGACATACTCATGCAGCATAGCATGCACTATCCCACCTAGCACTTTCATCCCATACTTGTAGAACGCACCTATTCACCTGGCTTTAAAGAATCTCATTGGAACACGACATAGCTCAACCTGTGTCATAACATTTCTCCTAGGTTTTGCTTCATTTTTTGCCACCTTAA